TATGGAATGATCCGCACGGTTGCCGGCTTCAACTGGACGTTCTTGGGGATCGTTCCGACGGGGCTGGAACGAGGATAAATCCATTCCAGAGCGTTCCCGAACGCTCTCAGAGCCTTCTGGGACGCTTTGAGAAGGCCGCGGCGCCCCGGACATCCTCCAGAACCACCAGATCTCAGAGATTCTCGATTCATGGGTTGACGCCGCACCGCCGATCCCTTGGGGCGGCAGTAAGAGTGAAAAGCTGAGTTTGCGAAACGATTTCTGGGGAGTCTTGGGGTTTCAGCTTCTTGGGATTTCGTCGGGGGCGGTTGGCGGATCGCCGCTCTGCTCTTGGGCTTCTCTGGGCTCTCCTGGCAGCACTTTTGAGGCCTCTTGGGAGCCGTTTGAGGCCTCTAGGAGCCTCTTTTGGGCCTCTCGGGGGCCTCGTGGGAGCCTCTTGGGGGCCTATTGGCGCCTCCTCAGGTTTTTTCGGGGCCGAGCGCTCGAAATGTTCATTCGGGTTCCCCCTCTGGGCCTCCTCTTGGGGCCGTCATGGGGCCCTCCTGGGTCGTTTTGGGAGCTTCTGGGGCCGTCTTGGGGCTTTCTTGGGCCGTCTTGGAGCCCTCTTGGGGGCCTCTTCGGCTATCTTGGGTCGATCTTAAAGGCTTCTTGGGCCGTTGTGGGCCTAATGAATACCCAAGAGGCGACTGTGCTAAAAATATGCGTTTTCTTACAGAATGAGACGATTTTTACCTCTGGAGTGCCTCTTGGGACGCCTCTTGGTGGCTTCTTGGGGCGTCTTGGGGGCCTCTGGGACCGTCTGGAGGCGATCTTGGGCGTCTTATAGCGATCACTCGGCGACTCTTAGCCCTCTTGGACCATCCGGGGGGGCCTTCTGGGGCCCTCTTGCCCCACTTTGGGGCCCCCTGAGGCTCCAAGGGTGCGGCCGACACCTTTGCTCCCCCCCCCCTCCATCCAAACCGGCCGGACCGGGCTCCCGGGGGAGGGGTTTAGGGAGGGGGAAGCATCTCACACGCCGTGACCCCAAGGGGTTGGCTGATTTATCCTCATCCGAATTTATCCTCGTCTTGGTTTCGTCGTAGTTCTCGGTGATCGTCGTTATGGTCCACTGGCGTCATCGGAGGCGGGGACTGCCTGAGCCTGGCGGAGCACGCGCCGCCCAGGGCCGCGGCTACCTCGGTCTGCTGAGCGGCCTCGGCCTGCTGCCGAGCGTCCGCGCGACGTGCTGCGAGCTCTCCCTCGACGGTGGCACTCGCCACGGCGGCCACGGCCGCCGGGCGCGTGGAAAGCCAACTTTTTCAGCCGAAGTCGGGTGAGTGTGGATCAGGAAGGAGAAAAGCACACAGACACAATTAATCGTCGACCCCCAGGAATATTGGAAAACATGGGAAGTGGAGGGGAAGACAATAACCCAGAACATATAGGAAAGTATGGGGAATCCTATTATTTGTGTTTATTTATTTGGGTGTACCAAGGCCCCTTCAGTGGAAAGGTGATTTTGGCATCGGCATCGCTGTAGCTCTTGAGCCGATGTGGTCTAATGGAGTTCCCGGTCGGCCAAGCCACTGGGGGCCCCTTCCCCGCAGACCCAGTTGGGATCGAGAGCTCTGGGGCGACGTCCACCTTCTCCGCCGCAGAGCGCCTGGAAGTCCTTAGCTGCTGGCCGTTCGCTATGACCAGGGTTTCCTGGGATCGATCGGGTCGAGCGCTTCGTTGGTCAATTTCGAGCTCTCTGGCGACTGGTGGTCCGACCAAGCCAGTGCTGGGGATAGTGCTTGTTGCTAAGACGGCACCACAATCTGTCGAACACGGTCGGGAGGCATTCGACATCGAGCTACTGGGGTTGCTTACGCGTATCTTTGACCTTGCTCCCGAGCCTTACGTAGTACCCAGCATGTCCTCGTGCAACCGACTTGTACAACGAGGCCCTTGGTGTTCGGGCTCCTCGTGGCGTTGGATATGCTGACGATCCCCCTCATGTGAAGCCCTTCTGGTTTCTACAATACGTCGGGTTTCTGAAAGTTCGGCGCCATGCAGTGGCGCCACCGTACTGGTATAATAATGTTGGCAGCTCTTGCAACAAAAAGAGTGTGCGGGTCCACTGGGGCGGTGTGTCGTGCGCGTATTTCCCGCGATTGGAAACGGATTATATTCTCACGACCTTTAGGCTTTTCCAACCCCTGCTGATCACGGATCCGTCGCTTGTCGTCGCAGGGGGGCAGCAGTTTTGATCGTGCTCAATACGTCTTGGCGACTTCGCTTTCACCGTCTTTGCCCCAGGGGCCTCAGTAATGCTTTCGGCAGCGGTTCGTATGATTCCCTGACAGTCTCAGTCAAATTACATGCCTCGGACCAGGCTGCCCCTTTGTGCTCCCAGCGCTTCGAGAATGCACGCGTCGTCTTGCCCTTGGCAGAGGAGGTGTGGTTGCTCGGCCGCGCCAGGGGGTGTTGATAGGTGGTCGGTTCATAGTGGGGACCTGCCTCGCTACTTTTGAACGTCCTGTTGTGGGGGTGGAGCTACAGCCTCAGGAGAGGGGACCATTCCGCTAAAGACGTGGTGGCCTCATGGGGTCCACCCACTGCAAGCTGATCTATCTTTGATCACATGCGCGGGTGACCTTGACAACATCGTCCTTGCCGACGTTAGCCGACCAATGTACAGTCGGTGGGCGATTTCCTTAATGATCGCTCCGCCCCGTTCGGGTACGGCCATAATGCAAGCAGGCAGGAGTTCCTCTTATACTTCAGCCAGAACGCGCACACCTGTCGTTGCCTCCTTTGCTCGTCTTGACCTCTTCAGGGCCCGTGAAAGGTTGAGGCAAGGTACTGGGTGCGGGTTATGGCGTTGCGAGATTCGGCCGCTCATGGGAGAGACACTTGTCGTCTTCAGGCCTCGCGCGTATCGTCCCACCGCCTCGGCGGTACTGGGTCACTTCGGTTTCCCTATCGTTGGACACGATTGCTTCTCATGGTGTTTGGCCAGCTTGCCTTGCCCAGTGGCCGCTATGGAATCGATTGCGCTCGCCACGATGGTGGGCTCGCCGCTCTCGATCTCATTGCTCTTGTGGGCGAGACGTCTACAGTGTCGGAAAGTGTCGGGGAGGGGGAGCCATCAGGCCATGATCGGAGTTTGACAGCGGGGCAGGCGATGGCGCACTGGCGTCCCGCTCCTAGTGCTACTGACTTGCCTTCGTGCGAGGCGTCTTGCGATCTATCAGTCGTGGACGAATGATCCTGTCCATAACTCGCAGGTCTTGTGCTGTCGGTTCGGCTCCACTCCCATGGGCTTTGGCCGACCGCAGTTGTTCGAAGGCCGCCCGATCGGCTTCGCTTGTGACCTCTTCTACCAGATAATCCCCTGTTGCATACTCATCAACTGCATGCGAGCGTTTGGCAGCTGATCGAACGTGGCCCGACGCCCACGGGGTTCATCGGCCGGGGGGGGCTGCGAGACTAGGGGGCCTTCAATATTGAAGTTTGCGTCGACCCCTGCTTCCTTGGCGTGTCCCTTATGTCCGTATGAAGGCTTGAACATTTCGGTATTGAGCGACCACTAGCGTGGTCATCGTCCGATCCAGCTACCTGCGCCTCGCGCGGGTGCCCGAGGCTGCGGGCGCCGCCCGCGCGGCCAGCGCCGACGCGTTGATGGAGATGCCCCCCTGGTTCAAGGGGCCGGGCGCGCGCGAGGCGGATGGCGAGTCCAAGCTCGTGGCGAAGAAGGGCGGCGGGGAGATCGCGCCCCAGACGGCGACGGCGGGCAGGAGCGGCGGTTGACGGCGACCAGCAAACTCGTCTAGGTAATCTCTCGAGAGCTCGGCGACGTCTCGTCGGCCGTGTTCCTTCTGAAGTACGAGGTTCTCGCGTCGGGCGGGGCGGCGGCGCGTCGGCGGGCGGGGCGGGGGGGCGACGCGGAGTCGAAGAGCTTGATGGGGCGCGGCCAGGGCGGCGAAGAGGTGGACTTCCGCGCCAGGGGCTCGTCCATCGCCGTGGCGGCAGCGTGCTGCGGCGTGGCGTTCAAGCCGTCGGTGGGCGATGAGCAGGCGGGCGAGGAGGCGCTCGAGAAGAAAATGATCGAGCTGGCGGGGGTCATGGCGAGGGGCGAGATGATGCAGTTGGCGACGGCGTGCCCGTATTTTCGGGTGAAGCACACCCGCGGGGAGGAGAAAACCATGCAGATGGGCGTGATCCTCGTGACGTTCCACCAGGGCGCGCGGCTGGGGTAGGGGATGGCGGAGTTGATCGAGGAGCTCGGGGTCCTGGAGGGCGGTCTCTTCCTTCCAGGGCCGGCTCCGCGGGGATCGGTCGATCGCGACGTATTTCTCTGATCGGGAGCGATCGCGAATGGGCAGAAAGCAATCCATATTGAGATTTCAACAGCTCGTGAAAAGAGGACTGTCGATCAGAGTGCACCTTGGGAAGCTTTGAGAGTTCGCTCTGGGAGGGCGCGCGCTGTGCCTACCTATCCACAGACTGAGCTGCCTACAGTGCCATTCATAGTTCTTCCGCCTGATTTGGGAGGCCTTGGTCAGGTGAGAGGGCGGGCGTCGTCCAGTGGCCGTGGTTGGGCATCGGGGGGTCGGGGAAGGGGGAAGGCCCGTCCCGTGCCTGAGTGGGCTTCGTGTGGGAGTGCCTGTGTGTATTCAGGGCTGGTGCTGGTTTGCAGATGGCGGCGCTTTGCAGAGTGCCAGGTAGGTGGCATACAGTGCGTTTCAGAATCCTTGCGAGTTCTTGGCAGCGTTGCTTGCGAAGTCAGGCTCGGTTGGTTGAGAGATTAGCTGGCTTCCCAGAGTTCCAGTCCAGTCCAGTCCAGTCCAGTCCTCCTCCTCATCCTCCTCATCCTCCTTGGCCTGCAGCCCTTTTTGAGGTCGGCGGCACGCCCCCAGCAGTGGGTTCCTTGTCGCGGCATGTCGCGGACCGCCGATCCGATTTGATACTATATTCCTCCTGCTCCTGCTCCTAGTGCGTACTGTGCACGAGGCACCATGGTGCACCCCTACGTC